CAGATCCATTTTTTTTTTTTTTTTTTTTTACTTCCTAGGTATTCCTGTTGTGAGACAGTGTTGAGAATCACTGGTTTAATTGGGTTGGATGACATGCAAAATCCACTCCAGCTTTATAATCTATTATAGTGATACACGACAGCAAATCCATTCTCTTCTCCTCCATACTTAGTAGTTTGATTCTGTGCTAATGGATGAGCCACAGGAGACCAAGTTTACCTGTCACCACACCTACCAGCAGTTGTTCTGCCTCTGCATCTATGGTTAGATGTTCCATTTGATCTTCATAGACTGTGTCCTTATTTTTATTGTTTTTTGGTTTATTTTTTTGCAGTGCAGGGGATTAAACCCAGGGCCTTACACAAGCTAGACAAGTGCTCTACCACTGAGCTACATCCTTAGCCCCTATTTTCTTATTTTTAAATGGAATTCAATTCTACCTGTATGTATTTTTTTTAAATATTTTTTTAGTTGTAGATGGACATAGTACCTTTATTTTATTTATATGTTTTATGTGGTACTGAATACCAAACCCAGTGCCTCACAAGTGCCAGACAGGCACTCTACCACCGAGCCACAACCCCAACCCTTATTAGTCATTTATTAAGCACCAGAGGCTACATGGAACTGGGTTACAGAGAAGAGCTACAACCATTCCCTGCTTTTATAAAAGTCCTATTCTAGTAACTGTTTACTCTGTACTTTTCTGTTATAAAATTCATATGGTTTTTTAGAAAACAACAACAAAACTTGTAGCTTGCCTTTGGGTTTGTTGGGAATGCGTGTTCTTTCTTGAGATGATACAAAGTGAAAGCTGGATGTAAAGTACTGATGTAAAATAAAGTACTGGATGTAAAATATAGACTCAATTGCTGCAAGAAGCTTCTATTTCACAAGGCAATCTGGGTGTGATCAATTTCAGCATGATGTTGTGTCTCCACAGTGTCATGGAACCTCTTATCTGATAACCATTCTTACTGGATTATCTCCATCCAATCATGACATCTATTTTCTGGTCTAAGATGGCTGCTGTATTTCTTACCAGTACAGCTGCATTTCAGCCAGGCTGGAGGGAAAGGCAGGATCTTTCTCTTTAAGAGAATGACCTGGAAACTACACACCCACTGACCAGGACTTCTGGGCACACCTGCCTTCAAGAAGGCTGGTAGATGTGGTCCTCTATGCAGCTGGCTATCTCAGTTATTTCAGTGCTCAGTTTTCTGGTACTAACCCTTTTGTTGTCTTTTTTCCACTTTTCTCTCTTTAAAATCACTGCTCAGTATATAACTGAGTCTTTTAAAATATATGTATAGTCACTATTAAATGATCATGATAGAAAAACTGCAAGGAAAAAACTAAACCAGGAATTATGGCCTAGCAGCTCTTTGGTAAATGCTTGAAACTTGTAGTGTTCGTCACCTACTGACTTTCAGTCTACCTCTTACTCAAATTAGCTATGTGATTTGAGGGTTGTCACTTGACATTTGTGTCTTGATTTATCAAAACAAAATATTATCGACTAACTCTCAGGGCTGTACATTGATTGATGGGTTCACAGATATACAAGTGTTTTGAAAACTATAAGTATGATGCCCTGTGCTGAGAAACAGCCCTTCCATGGCAGAATCTTGAAATGTTCTGGAGCAGTTCTTGGTCCTATTTCTGGACTCCAGGATTAGACTGTGCTTCACTACGTCCACCAGAATCCTTCAGCTGGGGATGGGTTCCCTGACTAACTACAAATCCAGAAGGCAGGTCAGGTCACTGCCTCTTTCTTAACTGCCTGTTAAGCAAGCATGGAGTCCTTTTGTCTTCTCTCAGTGTTTTAATATTCATTGGGGGCGGGGGGGGGGGGGTATCAGCAAAATCCAGAATTACAAGTTAATTTTTCAAAGCTCACACAGAAGTCCCCATAGGTCACTCAATTGTACGTCAACTTCCAACCCTGAGTTTCCCATGTCTTTAGTTTTGATCTTCTGTACCTGTTCATTCATTCACTCACTCATTCATTTATCAAACATTTATTGAGTACCTGCTATTTTTCCAGGCACTGGTATCAAAGGAGAATAAGGGACAGTTCCTTTAGATGAATTAAATGTAATTGATGTACCTGACATTTAGTAGGCGTTCTCTGGATATTTCTTTCCCCTTCCTTCCCCTGGTGTTGCTTATTAACCTACCTAATGTATCTTTGACTATTGTTTGTGTATCCTGCAGAGACAGACAGTGTTGTTCAGAAAATCTGCAGCATAGATTGTTTTTCACTGAGCTCAGACAAACATGTGGACTTGATATTGGTTTTCTCCAGCCCAGCTTCATATACAGATCACAATGATAGAGTACCTTCAGCTTTCTTCCTTCCTTTCTTCCTTCACTAAAGCATCTTACCTATAAAGTTTAACAGGGAAGCATGGGGCAAAAATCAACCTAATTATTCTTGCCACCTTCCCCATCCTTAACTCTCAAAAGACAATATTGGAATGTACCTTTATTTCGGTATCATGTTACCACTCCTGTCAGTCTTTGATGTTCATCTAATTTTCCTTCCTTTCGTAGGCTGCCAGCCAGATGAAAGAGCAAAAATATTCAACAAAAGCCTCCTTCAGTTCACAAGAGATACCATTAGCGCCAACTCCATCATATCATTCATCGGATACCGACTTCACCAGCTGTGGTATGATTCTTTTCCCTGAGCTACATTGACTCATGAAATATTAGAGAAGGAAGGGATCATGGTGTCCTAAAAAGAGAACTGGACCAGAGACAGGGAGCTCTGCACCCCTACTCCATTCTTCAGCTTTGGAACGTAGATAGATCACTGTACTTCCTAAACCATTTCTCCATCTGTGACGTTGGTGTTGCCTACTGCTCGTGGAATATAAAAGGACTGGAACAGACAAGACCCGTAGTAAATGCTGTTTGTTTTTCTGTTTGTTGGTTTGTTTTGGCTTTGGTGGTGGTGATCACCCAGAGCCTTGTGCATGCAAGGCACATACTGTATCACTGAGTCACATCCCCAGCCCAGTAATTGCTATTTGAGTCTGGCCTGATAGATTAGTCTCTAGTCACTGCAAAAGATTATATTTAGGTCATGATTAATATCTTAAAAAATCATATTGAACCCAAATTTTAGCACTACATGTTGATGTAAGCCATTTGAAGATTTATTTTCAGTGCTTAAAGAAATTGATGTGTACTTTCTTTCTTTAACTTCCTGGCTTGAATTATGCTGACTGAGGGTTGAACACAGAACTTTGAAATGAACAGCAGATATTCCCACTTTGGTTTTATGCAATATTAATCTGTGAAAAATGGACGCTTTGAAACACTACTCTCACCATTGGCAAAACATAACCTTATGTTAATTCAGCAGGCCTAATACCTTTTGGTATTATTTGTCTTTAATGTTTATGTGTATGTAGAGCTGGAAATTGAACCAAAGGCCCTTGTATATGCTAGAAAGCATTCTATCACTAAAGTATATAATCAATCCTTTTCTTAAAAAATTTTATTTTGAGAGAGGGCTTTGCTAAGTTGCCCAGTGCTGCCTCCTTGCCATCCTCCTGCCCTAGCCACCTAAGTAGTTGGGATTACAGGTGTGCATCACATGTCCAGCTTGTCTTTAGTATATTTTTTTCATAAATATTAACTTTTTTATAAAAAGTTTAACAATTAGGTTTTATTTTAAAGCACTGTGTTTATAGTAAAATAATTAACGAACATGATCAAGAAACTATGGCCTGTGAGTCAAATGTAGCCTGCTACCTCTTCCTGTTTAGTTTATGAACTTAAAATGGTTTTTACTTTTTTTAAATAGGCATAATACCTTTATTTATTTATTTTTCCATATAATTTTTTAGTTGTTGATGGACCCTTATTTTATTTATTTATATGTGGTGCTGAGAATCGAAACCAGTGCCTCACACATGCTAGGCAAGTGCTCTACCACTGAGCTACAACCCCAGCCAGGTTTTCACATTTTTATTTTTTATTTTTCACATTTTTAAACGTTGGGGAAAAAGCCTATTTTATGAAAATATGAAATTCATATTTCCATGTTCACTAATAGTTTTATTGAGACTCTCATGTATTTACACAAATGAGTAAGCAGCATGCTGCTTTCATACTATAAAGATGGAGTTAAGTAGTTGCAGCTGAGACTGTATGGCCAGCAATCTGCAAAATATGTATACCTGGACTTTGACCAAGAAAAATTGCTGACTCGATGTGTAGACAGTTGAATTTTGGTAATATATATCGATATCTATACCAAACAAGAGAAATTTATGACTCTACATTTTAATTTATGGGAATTTTATTCATTTCTCACCCACTTTCCAAACATTTATTGAAGAATTGATATGATTCTGATTTGGACTGAATTCTATTAAGAGAAATAAATTCAAAGACTGACTCAGGACTCGCTAGGGTGAGGAAGGAGCAGAGGAGGGAAAGAAATGCCATCTCCCTTCTTTCTTACTGTATTCTCTCCTCATTCGGGAGAGTAAGCTGGTCATTTACAAAAGCAATATAAACTTTTAAAAGCATCTGTGAAATTGTGCCAGTATTGTCCATCATTTTTATTGTAAATTAACAGGAGTGGCAATGTGAACTATATATGCTGCATAAAGATCTAGAAACAGATTAGGTTTACAATTTAATATTCTTCTAATAGGGCACTTTTTATTGTTACTGAGGTTGTATCACTAAATTTCTTGCTTTTAACTGGGAGACCATTAGATTAATAAATTCCATGTGGACAGGACAGCCAATGTAAAGAACCAAGTAGTTAAAATTTTAGCCTCACAGGCCATATGTTCTCTGTTACAGCTACTCAACTGCCCTCGTAGTATGACAGCAGCCATAGACTATACATATGTGGGCTAGTAGGCTGTATCCAATACAGGTTTATTTATGGAAACCAAAACTTGGGTTTCATATACTTTTTACATGAATGGAAATATTATTTTTTAAATTTTTTTTTTGAATTTTGAAAATGTAAAAACCAGTTTTGGCCAAAGGGCTGTAGTATGCAGTCCCCTGCTTATTATATAATCTAATGAAGCATTGTGGATTTCATCTTGGTTTCTGTGCACTAACTACAGCTCACCAGCAGATGGGGCCCTCTTTTTTCAGCCTTTTAAATTTTATCACAATGTAGGAATCAGTCCTCAAGATGATCAGTCTTAGTAATTAACAGAAAAGTTGGCATTGTCTAGAAATTTCTATCTACTAAGAGTCTCTTGAAACTAATGTTTTGAATGTTTTGACTTTCTGTGTGTGTGTGTGTGTGTGTGTGTGTGTGTGAGAGAGAGAGAGAGAGAGAGAGAGAGAGAGAGAGAGAATGTGCGTATGTACTGGGGATTTAACCCAGGGATGCTCTACTACTGAGCTACATCTTTGTTCTTTTTATTTTTTATTTGAGTCAGTGTCTGGTTAAGTTGTCCAGGCTAGCCTTGAACCCACGATCCTCCTGTCTCAGTCTGAGTCAGTGGGATTACAGGTTTGTGCTACCATGTCTGGAAGAGTGTTTTTTGTTTGTTTGTTTAATAGACTAGGTTTATTTGTCTGGTAAATGCACATATATAGAAGTGGATCAAGGGGTGTTATTAAACTTCTTCTCTTGCATATAATATTTTTTTCTAGTTTTTAGAAAAATCCATTCTTAAACAATGATTTTTTTCCTTTATTTCTTTTCGTTTTGTTTTGTTTAGTTTTATTTTTGGTATTGTGTATTTAACTTGGGGATGCTTAACTACTGAGCCACATGCCCAGCCCTTTTTTTTTTTCATTTTGAGATAGGGTCTCACTAAGTTGCTTAAGCCTTGCTAATTTGCTGAGGGTGGCTTCAAACTTGGAAATTTTCCAGCCTCAACCTCCTGAATTGCTGGGATTACAAGTGTGCATACTATACCTGGCACTAACACAATGATTTTTTTTTTAAGTGAAACTTATAGATCAGTAGTAACTTCTTAAAAGACTCTCACTAGGGGCTGGAGTTGTGGCTCAGCAGTAGAGTTCTCACCTAGCATGTTTGAGGTCCTGGGTTCAATCCTTAGCACCACATAAAAGTAAATTAATAAAAAATAGGTATTGTGTCCAACTACAACAAAAAAATAAAATATTTTTAAAAATTCTCACTAATGGACCCAGCAAGTATTCTTGAGTGTATTTTTATAATAGTTTTTTAAAAATTATTTTTACTATTATATTTACAGGTTGAGTATCCCTTGCCTAAAATGCTTAGGACTAGAAGTATTTCAGATTTTGGATTTTAGAATATTTGCATATACTTAATGAGATAGCTTGGGATGAGACCCAAGTCTAAACACAAAATTCATTTACATTTCATATCTACCTTATATATGCAGCTGGAGAATAGCTTTATACAGTGTTTTTAGTGTACCTGCATTTTAACTGGACTATTACCCATCCTATGAAGAGAGGTATGAAATTTTCTTTTTTCTTTTAATTTATTGATAAGACTGGGGGTCAACCCATGACCCCATGCATTCGAGATGGAACTTTCCACTTGTGCCAGCATCCTGTCAATGTTCAGAAATTTTTGGATTTCAGATATTTGGGTTAATGATGCTCAACCTGTAATATATTTGAAGATAAATTTTAAATAATTATTGGATTCAGTTAAAACATACTTTATTGATTAAATATTTTATATATTATAATCCATATATTGTGTCTAACTGAAAGTACTTAAGCACTTTTAGTGTTTTATAACTCAGGATCTTCTTTTTTTACTCATTATAACATATGACTTTATGTACCCAATGGCTTAATTATGTTAAATTTTCCCCTGATGGTTCTCATGATGTGTTTTGAGGTTTAAACAACTTTAAGCAGATCTAAGATCCAACTGGGGTCTCTGGTTTGCTTCAAGAGGGCTGGGGATGTAACTCAGTGGTGAAGCGCTGGCCTGGCATGTGTGAGGCCCTGGTGCAAGCCCAGCATCACTAAAAAAAAAAAAGTCATCGGAATGTCGCATTTCATCCCTGAGTGAATGACCAAGGTTTTTCCTTCATGATTCTTGGCAGGAGGAGAGTGAAATGATAAACACATGCAAACTCTGTGCTCTGCCAGTAGTGAAGCATGCAGGCCAGACTGCCTCTCATTATTCTGTCTTTCTTTCCTCCCCCCAGGTAGCTTCCAGGCTCCTCTGTCAGTGGATCCTGCAACGTGTCCCATTGTCCCTGGCCAGGAAATGATTATAGAAATATCCAAGGGACGCTCAGGCCTTGGTCTCAGCATTGTGGGAGGAAGAGATACACCCTTGGTAAGTTTCTATGTAAAATATATCGATTATCGCAGAATTAACTGTTGAGGCTCTTTATGGCCCTGGAACACATCTATGGAAGACTCAGCATTTTAATATTATGGGAAATATCATGTGCTTCCATATAATTGCCAGTTTTCAAGTGTTTCTTTTCTTTTTCTTTTTTTTTTTTTTTCAGTTGTAGATGGACACAATATTTTTATTTATTTATTTTTATGTGGTGCTGAGGATTAAACCCAAGGCCTCACACATGCTAGGCAAGTGCTCTACCACTGAGCCACAACTCCAGCCCCTCAAGTTTTTCTGAACATGTAATTTTCACCAGGAGTTTCTCCATTTAGGATGTTGAGGGTTTTTGTAAAGACTAATTAGACCTATAGGAGCACAGCATTTAGAAGTACTAAAACAATATTTAGAGCAGTGCTTGGCACATGGTAAGTGTTCAGTAAATAGGAACTATTATTATCATCCTCCATCACCATTATTATTTAATGGGATGATAGATAAAAAGTAAACAAGCCAGGTACAGTGGCACATGCTTTAATCCCAGGAACTCAAGAGACTGAGGCAGGAGGATTGTAATTCAAGGCCAGACTCAGCAACTTAGCAAAATGCTAAGTAACTGAGTGACACCATGTAGTGGTAAAGCACTTTGGGGTTCAAAAAAAAAACCATAAATATCAGAGGCTACAGGTGTAGAGCATTGCAGAGCATTTTCCTAGCATGCACAGGGTCCTAGATTTCATCCCCAGTACCAATTAAAAATATATATATATAAATTATTCGAGCCAAAAAAATAGAGTTCGTATAAACTGATAATTTTTTTTGAAAAACTAGTCTAGATTCTTAGCTTTTCCTAGGATGATTTTTTTAATTGTTCAGTACCTTTTATATGTCACTATTCAATAATACATTGAAATATAAAACTTTCTGTGTGTGTGCTTTTTTTTTTTTTTTTTACTTTGCTCAAAATGTGATTAATCAGTGCATACGTATTAGAATCAGGTAATACATGCACGTTGAACCAAGTTAGATTGGCATGAAAGGCTGTAAAATGAAAAACAAATCTCCCTCCCACTCTTCAGCTCTATTCAGCCTGCTTTTTACCACCCACCCAACCCCCCAAAAATAGGGAATCACTTTTATCATGAATGTATATTTAAGTGAATATTTATTTTTAATGTTTATTCTTAAATTTTAGGTGGACACAATATCTTTATTTTACATTTATGTGGTGCTGAGGATCGAACCCAGTGCCTCGTGCATGCTAGGCGAGCACTCTACCACTGAGCCACAACCCCAACCCCTTAAATGAATATTTTGATATTTCCTTTGCCCATTTATCTAGTGAGGCATGAAGTATATGGGCCTGGTTTATAGATAAAACAAATGCATGATCCACGAACTATTTTTTTTCCATTTTGGGCAGGAGCATAATGTTTCTGTGCTATGCTTTTGGGGAGTGGGGAGATTCTATTGTTCTTCTGTAATAAATACTAATCCCCTAAAGCAACAGAAGAGTCCAAGAGTCCAATACCAAGTGGGTATTGCAGAAACCCACTCTTACTGTCTCTTCTCTGTTCACTGGCCTGATCTAGAGAATCCTGGCATATGGCCACATACCAGTCATTTAGTCATCTATGCACATAGGATAATAATGTCAGATTCATCCTACTATCCTTCTGTCCGCCATACTCCCTTCCCTCCCCTCTAGCTAATCTAAAGTAACTTGATTCTTCCCTAGCTCCACCCCCCTTATTATGAATTAGCATTCATATATCAGAGAAAACAAAAAGTCAGTCATTGTTTTTAGGGGATTGGCTTATTTCTCTTATTGTGATAGTCCCAAGTTCCATCCATTTACCTGAAAATGTCATAATTTCATTCTTTTAAGGCTGAGTAATTTTCCATTGTGTATATACATACCACATTTTCTTTATTCATTCATCTGTTGAAGGACACTTAGGTTGATTCCATAGTTTAACAATTATGAGTTAAGCAGCTATAAACATTGATGTGACTGCATCACTATAGTAGGCTGATTTTCAATCCTTTAGGTATGAACCGAGGAGTGCGATAGCTGGGACAAATAGTGTTTCCACCCCAATTTTTCTGAGGAATCTTCATACTGTTTTTCAGAATAGTTGCACCAACTTGCAGTTCTACCAGCACATCCTGGCCAACACTTATTGTTACTTGTTTTCTTGATAATTACCATTCTGACTGGAGTGAGATGAAATCTCAGTGTAGTTTTAATTTGCATTTATCTAATTGCTAGCAATGTTGAACATTTTTTCATATATTTGTTGACTGATCATATTTCTTCTTTTGTGAATGTCTGTTCAGTTCTTTAGCCCCTTTATTGATTGAGTTATTTGTTTTTGTGGTGTTATTTTTTGAGTTCTTTATATATTTTCTCCAATTCTGTAAGCTCTCTGTTCATGTTCTTGATTATTTCCTTTGCTGTGAAGAAGCCTTTTAGTTTGATACCATCCCATTTATTGAATCTTCATTTTACTTCTTGTACTTTAGGAGTCTTCTTAAGGAATTTGGTTCCTAAGTAGACATGATGGAGAGTTGGGCCTACTTTTTTTTCTAGAAAGAACAGGGTCTCTGGTCTGATGCCTAGGTCCTTGGTCCACTTTGAGTTGAATTTTGTGCAGGATGTCAGATAGGAATCTGATTTCATTTTGTTACATGTGGATTTCTAGTTTTTCTAGCACCATTTGTTAAATAGGCTACTTTTCTCCATTGTGTGTTTATGGTGCCTTTTTCTAATATGAGATAACTGTATTTATGTAGGTTTGTCTTTGTGTCTTCTATTCTATACCATTGGTCTTCATGTCACTTTTGGTGCCAATGCCATGCCATTTTTATTACTATAGCTCTGTAATATAACTTAAGGTCTGGTATTGTGATGCCTCCTGCTTCACTTTTCTCACTGAGGATTGCTTTGGCTATTCTGGGTCTCTTATTTTTCCAGATGAATTTCATGACTTGTTTTCTATTTCTATAAAGAATATCATCAGAACCTTAATAATTGCATTAAAACTGCATAATGCTTGTTAGTATGGCCATTTTTGACAGTATTCTACCTATACAAGATATTTCCATCTTCTATGTTCTTCAATTTTTTTCTTTAGAGTTCTGTAGTTTTCACTGTAGAGGTCTTTCACCTCTTTTGTTATATTGTTTCCAAATATTCTCTTTTTTTAAGGCTATTGTGAATGGAATAGTTTTTCTACTTTCTCTTTCAGTTGATTCATCACTGGTGTATAGGAATGCAGTTGATTTATGGGTAGTTTATCTCTTTTTACTTTGCTGAGTTTATTTATGAGTTCCAAAAGTTTTCTAGTCATTTTTTTTTTGAGGGGGGGTCTTCTAAATATAGAATCATGTCATTGGCAAATAGGGATAGTTTGAATTCTTCTTTTCCTATTTGTAGCCCTTTAATTTCTTTCTTCTAATTGCTCTGACTAGAATTTCAAGGACTATGTTAACTAAAAGTGGTGAAAGAGGTCAACCCTGTCTTGTTCCAGTTTTTAGAGGGAATGCCTTCAATTTTTCTTCATTTAGAATGATGTAGCTCAGGTATGGTTCTACTATCCATAGTTCTAGTGTTTGAATGTGAAGGGGTTCTATATTTTGTCAAGTGCTTTTTCTGCATCTATTGAGATAATCATGTGATTCTTATTTTTAAGTCTATTGATATGATGAATTACATTTATTGATTTCCATGTTGAACCAACCTTGCATTCCTGGGGGGGACCCCACTTGATCATGGTACACTAGCTTTTTAATGTATTTTTGTGGGTGTTTTGCCAATATTTTATTAAGAATTTTTACATCTATGTTCATCAGGGATATTGGTCTGAAATTTTCTTTCCTTGATGTGTCTTTGTCTCTGATTTAATTTTTGTAAATATGTCTTCTTATATTTTTTAATGTAGGCACAGCTAGATTTGCCATAGGAATCAGAGTTCATTCAGCATGGCTGGCCTGGCTGAGTAAGTTGTGGCTTTTGTTTTGGTCTTTGTTGTTGGTACAATTTTGCTCTTGTGGATTACTCGGATTTGTGGACAAGATGTGCCCATGCTGTTCTTGGGTCTATAATATCTAATCTGCTTGGACTCCAGGTATCAACCTGTGGACATTCGCTGAGCCATGTCACCTTCTGCAACTTGGGTGTGAAGCCTTTGTTGAATGCTTGTTTTATCACCATGAGGCAGCCAAAAAGAAAATTCTTTAAGGCATCATGAGGTTCATAATATATAGTTCTGCCTTTTGAGACCATAAATCCCATTGTCCTTGGAAGGATAAGCACCACTTAAAAGTGAGGGATGGGACATAGTTTTTATTTCCTAACCTCATGTACCTCATCAAAACCTATAAGTTAGACTCACAAGAAGATAGATTGGCCTGTCATTTTAAAGAGAGAAAAGCAGGGGGATGGAAGGTACTTTAACAAATAAATCCACTGTTTCCACAATGAAGATCTTTGTTTTTTTCTTTTTCTGTTCCCCCTTAAATTTCAGTATGGAACATGCAACCTAATTGACTCTCTGGGTCACATTTTTCAGTCAGGTCTTGGGTTTGCATCCAGCCAGCAAGAAGTTCACAAACAAAAATGAAAGCTTATGAAAGGGACTTGTACAAAGTGTTGAGGCCCAGCATCAAAAGTACTCTGCACATGAGCTTATGTGATACATGCTCCCTGCAGCTCTGTAGCAGGGAAAAATACATTCTGAATTTCACCCCACCCTCCCGGTTAGGGTTTCCATGTCCTCTTTGTTGTGTGGCCAGCAGATATCTGGGGCATCTTTAGAGGAATTAAGTCTCTGGGACCTAGTCTTGATACCACATCAGTCGTCTCTTCTATAAATAGTTTCTCTCGGGCCAAGACAGATGGCTCCTGAGATCACAGGGGAGATCGCACTCACTGTCCCATTGTGTCTGCAGCTGGGTGTCCAGGCCAGCCTTTTAAGTACCAAGATAATGAT